CTACACTGTAACTGGAACTAATATAATATATTAATTATGTTTTCAGTGCTCTCTCCGGCTCTAGCTCAATGAAGCCAATTTATTAACTATACAAGAAGCATCCCCGTTCTTTTGGCCTTGCTCTAAAGAACTGCGAAGGATAACAATAAAATGAGGTTGAATAACCACTAACTTCTCTTTGGCTTCTCGTAGTTCATCACTTAATCGACTACATCTTGCCTCCAACTCTTCGCGAGTACGAGCTAATTCCGCCTCTTTGTTCAGCAAATGTGAAGTGAGTTCTTTCACCTGCAAAATTCTGCATGCGTTGTTTCCATTAATGTGCAACTGATAAAGTGATGAAGCAGTTTTAGCATTGAAGGCCAACCATACTCAACCCCCGTGCACGATCGATTTCAAAAATTTTCACCACTCCACTGCTATCTTCCTCTGAGGGGCGAGGGTGGATCTTCACATGACCCTACACCACCACACATGAGTGGGCTCACCCACAAATACTTCTCATTCCTCATCATCTATCACCATGGCTTCCTAAAGTTATCCCTCCACACCGCTAAAAATTATCTCTTTCTCCTTAGGTAACGACCACTACTCCTACAACGCAAAGAGCACATGGAATCGACAGGAAACGGGAGAGTTGTGGGGATGAAAAAATCAGAAGAATTACAGCAAATTTTGAAGTTTCTTCTAGGTTAGCGGTCTGTTGGACGGAGTGAGCCGTCTATTAGTATTATTCGAACAAGGGGGTCACATTTTGTGGTTGAGCAAGGTCGTAGAAGGGGGTTGTATTTGGCGTGTCATCCGACGAGTTTAGCGAAAGTTTTACGAAAGTGGTGTGAACCGGACAAAATCAATGGATTTGCTTCACGATGCCAATCAACCCCTCCCCACTCGACGGGCGTTTTAGAGGGCAACATGGGCGGGGTTGAGTGTGTCAACTGGTCACAAAATCAAAAGGGGGGATCGTAAAATTTTTTGAAAAAGTGCGAACGCCCTGCTGACGATTGACCTAGCTACTGGATATGTGGTTTGGTGAATAGCTTTGATTAGCTCAGAAAACCAGAAAGAGCTCCAGGAAGGGGGCGTGCTCACTTCTAATAGTTATTGAAGACAATAGCTTGCCCTGGGTGAGCTCCACAATTTGGTACGCAGTTGTAACGAACCTTGTCTCCAAGATATTCCTGCTCGCTGCCCATCTTTCGCAACATGCCGAGTTCGTCGTCCAAAGCGCGCAGTCGAGCTTCGAGCTCCTCACAACGGTTTTGGTTCGTTTTGCTCTCACTGAAAAGAATTGGCATCACACACGAACTTGCTCTGGATTTTTCCTACAGAACTCGTTTTCTACAACCTGTCTGCTAATTGCTAAGGCGCCAGTGTGTCTGCCTTCATCAAAGAACAGTCTATTTTACCAAAGGTCGGGAAAGTCCAAGCAAACATCGTACACAGGCTTGTTCAGGGCTGCTTTCAGAACTAGGAAGGATTTTACTTTTGTCTATGACAACGCGCTCTACTCACGACAAAGTTAATTGGCCAGAGCAATAATTTTGGTCACTCGTTCTCAGGCAATTGCCAAGTTTGAATCGAAAGAGTTGGCACACGTACATTTCCCCCTTCTGAAGTAGTTCGTTTGTTTTCCGCATCTCTATCCGTTGTTGGTCAATTATAGCGTCCTTTGCCGTGGAGATTTTTGCCAGGTCAACGAACTGCTGCTCAATTGGAGTGAGCCTTCGACCGGATTGTTGTAACTGCTGCTCTCGTTCCTTAATCAGAAACAATCTCAGTAATAGTCAGAAGGCCAATGGTTACTTTTCTGCTCCATTTTTGACAACTGGGCTGGGTATCTGTTTAGTTTCGTCCACGAAAGGGTGGTTTTTTAAAATGTTATTGAGGCAGTCTGGCTCCTAGGAAAACGAACATCTGGTCCCTTCAGAACGAAAAAGAAAAACGTTAGCGTCATAAGCGCCAAACAATTGGGATAGCGCCGGCACCAGTGGGGCTGTTCCAAGGTTGATCTCTGACGATTGAATTTAGTATTTGCCTTTCGAGTGGAATTATTCCTGGGCCCAAGTGTCTCGCAGCTCAGCACTACCAGGGAAGGCATTCAACTTCCCATGGAACTTTGAATTGAGACCCAGATATATCGATAGAGCTTCAAACGCTGATTACAAATATGGAAACTAAAACTGCAAAATGAACCTGCCAAGGAAGTTGTGAGCAGTCAAAGTTGGCTAAAGTAAAGCGTTACATATGAATCGTGCTAGTCGAAGTCGCCATGGAGTAGTGGTAGTACCCTCCTCTTCACCTAGGAGGTCAAATTTTTCACCGTTGAACTCCCAATTTCGAGAGCACTACCACTACTCCGCGGCTGAAAGCCTGGAATCCAGCGCGGTCCATATGTAACGCTTTACTTTAGCCAACTTTGACTGCTCACAACTTCCTTGGCAGGTTCATTTTGCAGTTTTAGTTTCCATATTTGTAATCAGCGTTTGAAGCTCTATCG